ACACTGGACACAAGGATATATATAACACACTGGACACAAGGNTTATATTTCTAAATACCAATACAAGATCTGTCTAAACCATACTCTAGATGAATAAAAAGAATAAAAAGAATAAAAAGAATAAAAAGAATAAAAAGAATAAAAAGAATAAAAAGAATATGGGGGAAAAATGATATTGCTAGATTTTGTATTTTTATAAAAAGACAAAAAAATTAGAATTTGGATTTAAAAAAGGAACAAGCAAGCAAGAAAATTGACAGAAACAAAGCATACAATTAGACAATCTTGTGGTAGGTTGCAATAAACAGTTGAGGTTAGTGTTCGATATCCTGGTTCGTTTTTTTAATTATTCCAGATTTTTACCTTTCAAGAGCCTTTATAAAATCTGCGTAGAGCCCATACTTCAAATTGTTTATTTTACAAGTTTGCTTTCATTATATTATTCAAAATATTAACTTTTACAGAAGCCAAGAAGCCTACTCAAAGCAAAACAGTTGTCCGTATACGACCGCAATATTTGAAAATACGTTCGGGTTTATACAGAGTTACTTACGAAGATGAGACTTCAGAGACGACTGCACAGAATTTATTCTGTCTTGTGCTTGCATAACTCCTCGCAATCAATGTTTAGTTTCTTTATATATTTGTCAAATCATTAAGAAAGCCAAATAAAAATTTAACCTTGGAATCATTATCTTTTAAGAGTCTCAGGTCATCCTTCTTTATCCTTCGTGGGTAACCATGTATCTAATTTTTTCAGGGGATATAATTTTAATATATTTTTGATATAATTTTGATATATTTTTGGAGCTTCTTCAAAGCCGAAAAATTATAAAAATATAAAAAAGATTGCTAAAATTAAGTGAAAAGGAGGAGAATTAAACTGGAAAAGTATTTAGATGAGAGGAGGGGTGAACTAAACTAATAGGAAGATAGTGAGGCAGGATGGAGAAATGATAAGACAGCATAATCCAATTGAATATATTAAAGAATTCTGTATTTTATATTTTATATTTTACATAATATAATATTCTTCAAGAATAATAAGAAGGTCCGAAAGTAGGGAACAGACAGTAAATAGGAAGAAAATCTGGGAAACTTGGACTAAATCTTAACAGGGACTACAGGAACAGATACTTGGACTAAATCTTAACATGGACTACAGGAACATATACTCGGACTAAATCTTAACATGGACTACAGGAACAGATACTCGGACTAAATCTAAACAGGGACTACAGGAACAGATACTTGGACTAAATCTTAACATGGACTACAGGAACATATACTCGGACTAAATCTTAACATGGAGTACAGGTACAGATACTCGGACTAAATCTTAACATGGACTACAGGAACAGATACTCGGACTAAATCTTAACATGGACTACAGGAACAGATACTCGGACTAAATCTTAACATGGACTACAGGAACAGATACTCGGACTAAATCTTAACATGGACTNAACTGCCAGGAGACCAACCTGAAAACAGCTCTGCTATGGCTGCTCTCCTTCCGTTGATAATTAATAAATTAATAAATATGTAATTTTTATGCACAACCTGTCATATTTTCAACGGAAAAATAAATTATTAGATTAGATTAGATAGAAAAATGGACTGCTGAAAAAAGGACTATTTAAGAATAACACTAATCTTTGAATAGAAACTTCATGAAAAGGTGGGCGATTTGAAAAGAGGGACTATCTGAAAAGAGGGACTATCTGAAAATAGGGAATATCTGTAAAGAGGGACTATCTGTAAAGAGTGACTTTTTGAAAAGAGGGACTTTCTGAAAGACAGACTATCTGAAAATAGGGACGATCTAAAAAGAGAAACTCTCTGAAAAGAAGAGGTTTCTAATAAAAGGGACTATATGAAACTATCTTAAAATAGTAACTAACTAAAAGAGTAATTACTGAAAATAGGGACTATCTAAAAATAGGGACTATTTGAAAATAGGGACTATTTAAGAAGAGGAACTCTCTGTAAAGAGGAACTTTCTAAAATAAAAGACTATTTGAAAAAATGGACTATATCTGAAAAAAATAACTATCTAAAAATAGTAATTAGCTAAAAAGAGGAACTATCTGAAAATAGGGACTATCTGAAAATAGGGACTATCTAAAAAGAGGAACTCTCTGCAAAGAGGAACTTTCTAAAATAAGGGACTATAGGAAAAAAGTGACTATCTGAAAAGAGGGACTATGTAAAAAGAGGAGCTATCTGAAAAGAGGGACTATGTGAAAAGAGGGACTGTCTGAAAAGAGTGAAAAGAAGACATAAAATGCACCAACCCCCTTTCCTCTCTGTGCTGAAGATTGAGGAGGATATATTTGAGAATTTACTCTCTCATAAGAATGTCCAAACCTAGTTCCAAACCTAGTTCCAAACCTAGTTCCAAACCTAGTTCCAAACCTAGTTCCAAACTTAAATTGAATTTAAACTTCTCTCTTCACTAGTTACATACAACAATATTGAGGACTGGAGTCTCAAATAAACAAAGCTCTCTTCTTCTTTTTATAAAAAAATTTGAGATTTAAGAGAGGGGGGGGGGTCTACAGTTAAACCAGGATAAAAATAGTGGAAGCAACTAAATCAGAAGAACACGATCTTGAAAGGAATAGGAGTACGTCTCAAACTTGGCTTGACGATGAAATTAAGAATTAGGTTAGTTGATGATATGTTTATTTTTTCAATTTTTCAATATATATTTTTTCAAATTATGAATAAATATTTTAAACATTAAAACAAAACAAAAAATTGATTTGTGTGTTTGTTTGTATCCAGTAAGTGTCAAAACGTATAACATTTTTCAAATCAGTTGACTCCAAGTAAGGCTTATTTATTATTTTTTAAATTCCAGCTGTACATTCAGATTTAAATAAACTTCAGCTGAACATTCAGATTTAAATAAACTCCAGCTGATTATTCAGATTTAAATAAACTCCAGCTGTACATTCAGATTTAAATAAACTCCAGCTGATTATTCAGATTTAAATAAACTCCAGCTGATTATTCAGATTTAAAAATTATAAAACCATCCAATACCCATATAAGCAGAAACATCTCCGAAAGCTTAAAATGTTTAAACATATTTACCCACAAATGATGTTATGGCGATTTAAAACTCTTTAATTTTATCGATTAAAATTTTGAATTTGGTCTTCTGCCTTGAATTAAGTGTTTTATCAATATGCTCATTGTCTAATCCTTATATTTTTGCAATCTGATGTTGTAGGCATTTGAAATTTCAAACTTTAAATTTTGCTAGATCAAACAGTCATAGTTTGAAATATCAAAAGTTTACACCTTCAGGATGAAAAATATAAGGATTTATATAGAAGAGATTGTGGTAAGTAATCAAAATACTTGAATTCCGTAATCCTGTAATCCTGTAGGAAGGCATTTTTTAGTTAATTGTAGAGTAGGGCGGAGAGGAAAGGCGGAGTCATATAGTCCAGAGGCGAATAAACTATAGTTGGCCCTATAGAAAAGAGGCGGGAAGCCTAGAAACTTTTAACTTAATTTAAACTTTAGAAACATTCCCCGTCGAGAATAAATGTTTATACAATTCACGGAAACAAATTATTTTATTATTTCAATACACAAACATTCTCAAGGAATAGAAAATTTTCCTCGAAAAGCAAAGGAAAGTTAAAGTGTTTGTGTTTATGTCGAAAACCATGTTGTCGAGTGTCGACGTCGAAAGTCTTCAAAATCTTCGAAGGTCTAAACTATAATCCAAGCATAAAGCAGTCTTTAGAGTAAGGGTCTATTAGATACGTTTTAAAAAATTGTTGGATCCACACTCCACAGAGATCTCAGAATTTTCATATTTTACAATTTCTAGCGCTAGAAGCTTTGATTACTAATAGAAAATACGAAATAGTTGCCCTCAGAGTTTGCCCTTAGAATTTTGCCTTTCGGGTTTGCCCTATGTAAAAATATGTTACACAGTATTTAATGTTATAGCAAACTACATTCCACATATTATACAATTTTTGAAAATCAATATTTTTAGATTTTTTAGAGCCTCTTATAATGTGTATTTTTTTGTATTCATTACAATTCGATTCATTACAGATGTCTAAAAAAATAACTTAGCCATAGGTAAATAATAAATTTTTGTGTCAAAGTTTACTAAATATTTAATTATTACTCCAAAACCTTGTCTTTCGTGAGGGATAAGGGGGGCAGGTGATCTNCAGGGGTGGGAATGATAGTGTTTTTTTATTAGACAAAAGAGAAGGAAGGGGAATGTTCAAAGTATTGAACAATCAGTTCATCATTATTAAACGTTTTTTAAAACCAAAATTACATCATTTGACTCACCTCTTCTTTTCTTACATGTTTTATAAAGATGGATTAAGAAAGATAATTTTTTTTAATTCAATTAAATAAAATATCATTAAAATATCATGTGGCTCAGAAGATTTTTTTGGGGCTGCATAACCTAGCATTCAGCTTTTTTAGTCAGTATATTTAGGTTGAGAAGTATCCTGTAATAAGGTTCCGACCAGTATATCCTGGTTCAGAAGTATCCTGTAATCAGGTTCAGACCAGTATATCCTGGTTGAGAAGTATCCTGTAATCAGGTTCCAACCAACACATCCTGGTTGAGTTTGCTGTAATCAGGTTCCGACCAGCATATCCTGGTTGAGTTTCCTGTAATCAGGTTCCGACCAGCATATCCTGGTTGAGTTTCCTGTAATCAGGTTCCAACTAGCATATCCTGGTTAAGTTTCCTGTAATCAGGTTCCGACCAGCATATCCTGGTTGAGTTTCCTGTAATCAGGTTCCAACCAGCATATCCTGGTTGAGTTTCCTGTAATCAGGTTCCGACCAGTATATCCTGGTTGAGAATCCTGTAATCAGGTTCCGACCAGTATATCCTAGTTAAGAATCCTGTAATCAGGCTCCTACCAGTATATCCAGGTTGAGAAGTATTCTATAATCAGGTTCCGACCAGTATATCCAGGTTGAGAAGTATGCTGTAATCAGGTTCCGACCAGCATATCCAGGTTGAGAAGTATCCTGTAATCAGGTTCCGACCAGTATATCCAGGTTGAGAAGTATCCTGTAATCAGGTTCCGACCAGTATATCCAGGTTGAGAAGTATCCTGTAATCAGGTTAGGACTAGATCCAACTATATCGTTAAAAGTTTAGGAAGATATTATGTTAATATTAGGGTTGGAGTCCCAGGAGAATTCTAGTGCTAAAATTCTTTAAAACTTTAAATGTAGCAACAGAAGCAGTAGCCTAGGATACATTGATACAGATAGGTAGATAATCAGATAGGCAGATAACAAGATTGGTAGGTATACAGATAAAAATATAAACAGATGAATATACGTAGATATACATACAGATTAACAGCTAACAAGATATGTAGATAAACATATAAAAATAATTTTTTATTCACTCCTTTCACTTTTCATACTTCTTTCTCATTTTCCACCTTTCATTTCTAATTCAAATATTTCTGATTTTTTTTTTCATTACAAACTTACAAACTTTATTTCGCTTTTCCACAAAAACCGTTTTCTTGAAATTCTAAATTATTTTCTTTTTGACTTTTTAAAGCCACAAATCACAAAACTGTCACTCCAGAAGAATTACCACGCCCCTTTAACAGTTGGGAATATAAAATTGAAGGGGAATCAAAAACCCTTAGTTTGCGCAGTTAAGGCCGGCGTGGGGGTAATAAAATTGACCCTTGATGAGGATTTATGTTATGTAGGTGAACATGCTCCCCCGGGTCAACTAAATATCGATACAAGATCTGTCTAAACCATACTCTAGATATACATCCAGCTAGATCCAGGATTAGNTATATTTCTAAATTATTGATTCCTCGTTATCAAATGGGTCGTTTTTAATTACTAGTTCGTCTTCTTTTGTCTTTTAAAAGTACTCATAATTTCTTGTTCTATGGTTCAATAGTTCTTGGTATTTTTCTATCCTACTTCTCCGGGTTTTCCGTTATGCTTTTGTTTGCCTCCGATATTCCAGGTTCTTTGGCGTTGCCTCAAAATATCGTTGTTTCTAGGTTGCCAGTAGTTCTTCTGGTTTTCCTTGTTGCCTCCAGCTCTCTTGATTCTCCTGGTTATCTTCTTCTCTCTTGGTTTCTTAGGTTTCTTCCTGTTCTCCTGGTTCCCCAAGTTGTCTGCTTTTCTCCTGGCTCTCTCGGTATCTTCCTGTTCTCCTGGTTCTCTAGGCTTCTTCCTGCTATCATGGTCCCCCCAAGTTTTTTCCTGTTCTCCTGGTTCCCCTATGTTGTTTCCTGTTCTTCGGGTTCCACAAGTTTTCTCCTATTCTACTGATCCTCCAAGTTTTCTCCTATTCTCTTGGTCCCCAAAGTTGTTTTCTATTCTCCTGGTCCCCCAATTTGTCTCCTATTCTCCTGGTCCCCCAAGTTGTTTCCTATTCTCCTGATCCCCCAAGTTGTCTCCTATTCTCCTGGTCCCCCAAATTGTCTCCTATTCTCCTGGTCCCCAAGTTGTCTCCTACTCTCCTAGTTCTCTAATTTGTCTCCTATTCTCCTGGTCCCCCAAGTTGTCTCCTATTCTCCTGGTCCCCCAAGTTGTCTCCTTTTCTCCTGGTCCCCCAAGTTGTCTCCTATTCTCCTGGATCTCCAAGTTGTCTCCTATTCTCCTGGTCCCCCAAGTTGTCTCCTAATCTCCTAGTCCCCCAAGTTGTTTCCTATTCTCCTGGTCCCCCAAGTTGTCTCCTATTCTGTCTGTTTATCTCTATGTTATGTCCGTATGTCTGTATGTCTGTGTATATATATGTCTGTATGTCTGTTTGCACCTGAACCTAAACTGTGTATACAGTGNCTCCTATTCTCCTGGTCCCCCAAGTTGTCTCCTATTCTCCTGGTCCCCCCTGTTGTCCCCTGTTCTCCTGGTCCCCCAAGTTGTCTTCTATTCTCCTGGTTCTCCAACTGAATTAGATTTATTTATACAATATTGTTCTGTCTGAAGCAGGCAGGACAGTTTTCTAAATATTGCAGGTGTTTACTGTTGATTTGTTTGTCTGACCCTGTTTGTATGTTTCCAAGCTAAATATTGTAAATCTATCTGTATATGGAATGTTTTTATCTGAGGATATGTTCTTTTTATCTGATTTATCTGGTTTTTATTACTAACAATGTAAAGGGTTACCCACAAAGAATGACACTTGATAGTTGACTACATAGAATCTATACAGACTTTTTTTTCCTAAAGTCTTAATTTCCTGCAACTTGAAAATTGTTTCTTTCCGTGCTAAATCATCAAGTCAATCACTTGAAGGCAATTTTAGGCAACAGACCAACAGATAAAATTGTATGCCGTTATGCCTAATAGATAAAGAAAATGAGTTCTTGTCAGAAACTCTAAATTTTTAATTCTTATATTTTTCAACCCGTTGTCGTAATATTTCAAACATGATTTCTGTTTAATCAATTAGTCCAAGTTTGAAATATCAAAGGTTTAAACCATTAGGTTGCAACGATATATGTGTAAATATTTCAGCTTGTTGCAAAAACTCAGTTCCTTTATCTGTGTTTTTAAGTGTGTATACATGTCTTTCTGTCTGTTTATCTCTATGTTATGTCCGTATGTCTGTATGTCTGTGTATATATATATGTCTGTATGTCTGTTTGCACCTGAACCTAAACTGTGTATACAGTGTATAAGAGAGTCTATATATGTCCCAAGGGAAGGATGGATCTAGGGATTTATGAATATATTTCTCGTATTTATTAAAGGAAAATAGATGGATAGTCTACCAGGAGTACGGGGGTAGAATAGAAACCTTGTAATTATTCTTGAAAATAAACTCTGCTTGATTGATTTTGAAGGATTTGGTCTCAAGGGACAATTGGGATAATAAAGTGATCTCTTCATGCTACCTTGGGCTATGGTGGGGATGGCGTGGAGGGGAGGGTAGAGGGGAGGATAGAAGGGGTG